CGGACTTGATGATCTGGCTCAGGTCCCTTCCGACCCTAGAAGGTATGAAACTATGAAACTATTCCAGTTAAACTCAATTAGGGACAGTACTTTATAATAATGGTCAACAGCAACTTTGTCAGAGATACAAAAGTGAAACTCCTAATGCTACTCTGTATAAAAATATCTGGACAGACAGAAATAAGTATGAAAGTATATAATGAAGGAAATGCAGTAAAAATTCACCTGCCTGTTTTACTGTATTGTTATAAATGATACAGTACCTTGTAGGCTATTTCTACTGCTTCTTTCAGTGTTTTGTCCTTATGAACTTCTAATTTATTTTCCATCATTATCTGTTTTACAGGATGCATGCAGAACAATTTTATCTGTAATGTAAAGCCATCAATTAAAAGAATAAATCAAGTCTCTCACAAATTTACTTTCAATTAACATATTTTAAAATGGAAATGTGCTTATATGTTATTTACTTATCCTAAAACAACAAAATATAAAATATAAGGTTAATACTATTTCAACTACAAAGAGGTTACTACAATAAAACGCTAACTTTTCATTTTTTTACTTGTTTAAAATTCAGTGATTCAGCTGATTATACAATATTGTTACTCTGGCTTCCAATTCAAATACAAAAATATGAGTTTAAAATTAATGCTAGCCATCTACTATGTACCTGACTCAGACATACAGACCCTTAGTTGTAATGAGTTATTTGTAATAAAGCATATTATTTGTATTCCATAAGACTCATTGTGGTATAGCAGTCATTTGCAATATAGCTTTCAATCGTTTTATATAGAAATTTATAGATCCAATGTTATGCAAACTGGAATTCTAACCTTGCAAGTATTGCGCTCAATTTCACGTTGCCTTTTTTCTTGCTCTTCTAACTCTCGTTCTTTTTGTACCAGTTGCTTAATGTGCTCTGGATATTCATGTGCTTCAAGGAATTCTACCAATAAAAGCAAATTGAAGGTAAGTTCTGATTCGAATGATATACAGTATAATTTTAAGGCACTTTATGTACACTCTTTGCAACATCACCCTAGTAGTCTGACACAAACTTTCATTTCTTATTTTACTTTTTCATGAATCCACTCTCTGTTCCTCTTTTAAGTGTAAATGGAGCTGAAGTCAACATGACTTTACCCCTGCACTGTACTCTAGCAATACCACGTTAACAATGGCACTGTACTCAAGCAATACCAGGTTAACAACAGAATATGGTTAACACCTAAAAATTAAGCCACCTTCCTTGATCTACAACTATCACATAGGCTCCAGGGAATTGGATACATCATTTGTCAGCTTTAAAAATTAATTCAGGTGTCACCACATGGTAGGTGTGGACTGGACCTAGTCAGGCAGACTGCTAAAGATAACATCAAAAGGGTTATAAAACTGAAAATCATTATTTGGGGGAACGCTATCTAATGTACCTGTGTGACAACAAATTTTTACCAAAATAATTTTATGTTAATCAATATTGCAAGTATTGCTGAACTTCAGATTAAAACACCAAAGAGTTATTGTTAGTTCTTATTGGGGGACTGAACCAATATTGATCATTTCCAAGTACTGTATCACTTTTGTGTTCTTTTTGAAGACTTAATATTTTATCTATGCATGACAAATATCTTAAACTGACAGCATGCTATCACCACAATATTTGAGCTCTTACAAGTCAAATTTAAATATTTGTTTCAACTAAGGCATATATTTCTTGCAACAGGCCTGAAAATCCCTTGACTTCTTAGAAATGAATAGGTCTATACATTTGGGCTGGAAGGGACCCTGGAGGATCATCAAGTCCAGCCTCCTGCCCCAGAGGCAGGAAGTCAGCAGGGATCATAGGATCCCAGCAAGATAAGCATCCAAATGCGTCTTGAAGGCGTTCAAAGCAGGTGCATGAACCACTTCCGGCAGCAGTCTATTCCAGACCTTGGGGGCTCGGACAGTAAAGAAGTTCTTCCTTATGTCCAGCCTGAATCTGTTGTGGTGCAGTTTACGACCGTTTGATCTTGTCATCCCTTGGGGCTCTCTGGTTAACAGACATTTCCCCAGATCCTGATGAGCAGCCCTGATAAACTTATACATGGCCACCAGATCACCCCTGAACCTGTGCTTTCCTAGACTGAAGAGTCCCATGGCTCTCAGCCTCTCATCATAAGGTCTGTTTTCCTGACCTCTGATCATGTGTGTGGCTCTCTTCTGCACTCTCTCAAGCTTCTCCACATCCTTTTTGAATCGTAGAGCCCAAAACTGGAAGCAGTACTCCAGCTGTGGCTTCACCAAGACGAAGTACAATGGGAGAATGATGTCCCAGGATTTGCCTAAGAAGCATCTATGGATGCAAGCCAGCGTTTTGCTTGCTT